TTTTTCAAGGCAAGGGGGAATAAGAACTGACATTTGAAGACCAAGTCAGGGAACCTACTGATTAAACACTAATGCAAACTGTCCCTTCTCTGCTATCATCAAGGAGGGACAGCTATATTAAAAGGAGAGCATAATTCTGTGGATTGATTTGTTGAGTCCTCATCTGTTTCTCCAGGTTCTGACATTACAGTTAGCAGTGAAATACTGAACTCTACTTGCAGTTGGTCCTGAGGTGAGAACAGAAAACACTAGATACAACAATTCAGTTATACTTAGCTTTGTACATGTGGAATTCTAATATATTCTTCGTATCCTTAAAAGATTTCTGTGTTCGTGTGTATCTCCCACTCACACATCTACTCAAAGAAACCTTGAAGAGCATCTGTTTAATCACTGATATTCTGGTTAAACTAGCCAGCTTAATATACATTCTTTTCTTACAGGCAGGATACAACCCACCTCTGACAGAAGAGTAGCTTCCAGCCGATGAACTGAATCACCTGGTTGCCTCAGATGGAATCAGGGTGGCAATAGATGTCATCAGCTCAGTGTGAAGACAGTGTTTTCCAGTATGGAAAAAATTGCACCCACCAACATTCACCGACACTTGCTGGATGGAGTCCAGACAATGGACATGAGCTCAGGGAGCTGGTAGATATTGGACTTCAGCAGTGGTGACAACAGCAGTAGTTTACCTCTGCTGGTGCAGATTTTTACAAATGCAGCATGCAGGCTCATGTTCTTTGCTCTGAACCTTGCTTCTACAATGCAAAGGGATTCCAGCCACCACATGCATACAGCCAAGACATTTTAGTGTGAACCAGATACTCAGGCATACACAACCTGTAACCCACATGCTACGTGTATCCCAACTCAACTTGCATCCCCTACAGCTGTATCGATCATGGCAGCAGCTCTACCCTGATGAGTGGCCAGGCCTAGCCCAGAGTCACAGCAGAGTTTGCAGAGCAGCACTGAAAAATAAAGCAACAGAACTGAGAAAAGCCTGTCACCGGAAGAAAATATTTTAAACAAAGTCACATGGCAAAAGAAGGTAATGACAGTGCTTTCTAACGGGAGATAAGCGCCATAGCAGGTAACCATACAAGGCCATACGACCATACCTAACAGGTATGGTTATGGTTATTTATAACCTACCTATACATGTAGGTTATACATAACCTACAAGAACCATAGCAGCAGGTAACAAAGAAAAATTAGCTCACCCCTTCCAGAAACTAGTAACAACTCAAAAGAAGAGCAAACTCAGAGAGATACTGCTCCCTCTGCTGCTAACACTTAAATAAAAGCACCTTTTCCAATCATTGCTTGCACCTGAGCTCCCTGGGAGAGCCTTGACCTCTCAACTAATGTTCAATCATTGGTTCAGGCTGTGAAGGGATGGAGTGCAGCAGAGTTGCCAGGTCACAGCCTGAACCAAAGAGTGAGTAGGTCAGGGCTCAACTCCTGCTCTTTTGGAAACATGAAGTACAACGTGCATCGTGATGCAGGTACAGTACCTATCAATGATGTGATTGACAGGTGATTGTTGCAAGGTGATTGTTGACAGTCTTCTTATGGTTCTGTTGGAACAGTACTTGATGTTCCTTCTGGAGGCTTCTCTTCTTCAGTTTGGGTTCCCTGGTTCCCAGAATTTCAGCACTCCACCACCTGGTGTCATGACATACCCTCGTAGACACTGAAGCACGCTGAAGTGTTGATGCTCCTACCAGTGGTCCTGTGGACTTCACAGCCTCAAGGGGAGTAGTACAGATGTTTAAAAGGTATGAGGAGTGGTGGGTCTGCCTTCAGTGGTAGGATACAGGCTGTGTTTTTGTCTTGAGTCAAACACCTCCACTTGTGCTGGGGCATGTCCTGGCCTTTGGTACAACATCCTTTGTCCTGTATTTTCCTTTGAAGGTCAATATTAATTATTCTGCCATGCGTCCCCCATTTTGGAACTGCAAGCAGCTTTTGTGTCTTCTCTATGGGAGAAGTTAGTCCAGAACAAGGTTTTAACTCACCCTACGAATCCTGCCATGGGGCTGTTCTGCCAGTCGTACAAAGAAAATTGTCTTTCTTCTCTGCAGAGTACAATGAACTTTTCATCTTCTCACTTAACAGCTGTATCTTTTAAAGAATAAAAGTAAATATAAAATTAGCGAGGATTCAGTAACAGTAGGTCAGCTATAAATACTTGCAAATGGGAAACATACAGTGAGCATCTTTGGAATTGCGACATTACAGCATTCTGATTTTAGGAAAGTTACAATTAAGCTCTGTTTCAATACAACCAACTCTATATTACAAACTCAACAAAATGTACGGAGGAGCAGAAGTCCTACTCAGTGCACTTAGTGCCTTTTACATGGTCATTCAGATACAGCATGGTCACAGCTCTGGCCCGGTTCGACCTGGATCCTTGACTAAATGGCACAGGGGGACCCATGGACCCACCCCCTGTGACGGGTCTAAACACAAAACAGCGGCAACGAGCTAAGGGAGAAAATTAATTTACTAGATATTATAGCACAGTGTGAGAGAATGCAATATAGCACAATACAATTGGAATTGTAGCTAATAAATCAAATAAACAGGAGAGAGATTGTCCAAAACTGAAGGCCTTACTCTAATGTTGAAGGTGGGACAGCTAGGGAGCATACACTGCAGAGCCAAGCAGAAATAGAAGTCTCATGACTCCCAGTTTTCTCTTTCCTTCTAAACAGAAAATGGAAATGGAACAGTGAAGTATTCACAGAATCAGTGATTCTGTGATTCCAACTGAAATTCTCTGAAATTACTCCTTTTGTACCTTTGGATGCTCCCAGATCCAATCACGAGGAATCACACCATTTCTTTCCCCAGTAGGACATAAGAATCTAACACCTAGAGAGCTGTATTTTTCAAGACTGTTGTGTTGTAAGCAATTAGGCATCTTCATTTTTTATGTGAAGCTATATTCATTCAACCTGGAGTTTACTTTTAAGTAGTTTAGACCACACTTCAGAACTTAATCACATGAGTGGCTCCACCCTCACCTAAAGGTAATGCTGCCTTTCCTGAATACTATCTGATTTGGCCCTGAGAGCTCACCAGCTACACCTGCTCACTAACTGAAGATACAGTAGCAAAAATGATTTCCTGAGTGGTTCAGAGTTGTTCACTTGCATCAGCCCAAGACATTTCCAAACCAAACCCTCCAAGTGGGTTGAGAGGGTATGGTCTGTCTCCTCTGGTTCCTGACTATTGAGTCCCACCATGTCAGAACGTACAGCACGTCAAAAAGTCTGTGCAATGCTCAAAAGTGAGATGGGGAGAAGCTAGGTTGGCACCATGAGATATTCTGCACAGCCCTTACTAAGCTGATGCTCAGATAAATCCCTGCTGCCCAGTGTAAACTCCTTTACCTTCTACCTCCAATTACCTCGTCTAATGATCCTCCAGCAAGATGAGCTGTATCCACTATGCCCTATCCCATATTCTTCAGGTGCCCTCTGTGCTCTGTCTGAAGTCAGCTCTGCAGGTGGCACTGTGTCCTGCCTGTTGGTAAGTTCACATGTTCTCCTTACGCTACCATGACATTGCTACCCAGAGCTTGCACAGTTCCTAAAAGAAAAACAAAAGAACAGAAATGTTCTCCAGAAAATCAGACCGCTTCTGTTAGCCTGGGCTCCTGTAAGGGCCAGTCACTGAAGAAAGCTGTTGTCGTTTGGCCAGGTTTGGTGACAGGGAGCTAAGGCATCTACGGACTGAGAAGAGAAAAGGGTGGGGGAAGTTAGGCCTAGGCAAGAAAACCAGCAGCAGTGAACTAAGGGAAAAACTTAATTTACAAAATATAGCAGCGGAATGTACGATAATAGAATATGATGGGATTTGAAGCTCATCAATAAAATAGGAGAGAGTTTACAAAACTGCATTCCTTACTCTAATGCTACAGGTGAGACAGCCAGGAGCACAGACAGCAAAGAGAGGCAGTCTTGAGACTCCGTCATTTTATCTGTTTGTTCAAATGGAAATGGAACAACAAAGTCCTCTGGGAGTTGTAGTTCACTCTTGTCTTCTGAGACCAGGAAACCAGAAATGTTGACAAGTCACAGAACAGCAGTACTAAGCCTTTAACTCCAGTGCACTGCGAGATGTGATGGTGTGGAATACTGACCAAAAAACATAAAACCAGGACAAGAGAGTGTCTCTTGAACCGAGGCTGCTTGCTGTGACGGAGTGCTGTGTAGCCGTAGAGCCCCTTCACTAGTTGGGTGAGCACAATTTTTCTTTCTATGATTACTGGTCTACCTGTGAATACTTTGCCTGCTATCTCCAAGAATCTGTCAGAAGCAGTTTTGCTTCTTTGTGAGCAGGGCACCTACATTAACTTTATGTTGTGTGTTCAAAGTTGGCCTACAGTGCTAGTCTGCAGCCATATGCAAAGCACTACAAAATCATTAGGGAAAACTTGTGCCAAGACATCCGAAGACACTTCTCCAGAAAATACAGGTGGGCAAAGCACTCTGCATGTTATCTCTGCCTTTGATCTCTTACCCCGATTCCCTGAGAACAAAACAAAGGTGCAGAGGCTGAAAGGGAAGCACAGGGCACTCTGGCAGTCCACCAGTAGGGATGCCTGAGGGACCGTGGCTGTGCAACATGCCCACAGAGCCACTTGTCTTGAACTCTGAAAACTACCTGCAAGTCTTTGACTGCAGTGACTCTGAATAGAGTGCTCACCCTTACTACTGATACACTAACAAGCATTTCACATCGTTACATTTAGTACAGTTGCAGCAAAGGTTCACTCTAGCTTGAATACATGGAAAACGGAATTTGCTTACAAGTCCTCCTAGGGTAGCCATAATGGCTGCAATCAAATAAATCAGCGATCTATACTTGCTGCTGTCTTCCATCCCAAACATTTCACTGCGGGAGGATAATCGGCTAAGACTACAGATGAGCCTTTAAGAAATTAGCTTAGGAGTTACTGTGCTGTGATCAAGTTACAAAACAAGAGGCTCTAATTCTTGGATTCAAAGTGCATGAAATTGCTATTCAGTGTGAAGAATGATCATTTAATATACCAACCTACTTGCCTTTCATCTGTCTTCACCACTTTCACCATAAGGCGTACAGAAATGCCATTAAAAATTGACAGATTTCTCAGTTCATACTCAACCTCCTTTTGTAGGATAACAAAGACTTAATTGCCACCTCTAGGTTAAGGTATATCGGGGTAGGAAGGAAAATGCTTGGGTATTTCTAATGAAACTTCAAATAGATGGGATTTCATTCACCTTCATAATTTGAAAACTTTTAGCAGAGTGAATAGTTTCATCATGCTTTTTTTCCTGACCAGGTTTTACTGGTAACATTTTCTTGAAACCAAGGTTTAAATAAAATGACTAAAAATTCATGCGTTTAAGGTTGAAGAAAATAAACGGAGAAAACTTCTGAGTTTACCACTGAGTCTTCTGTCAAGACTCACTGCACTACGTGAGGTTATGAGCACTACACTAGGGGTTATGAGCAAGCCCTTCCATGAGGCAAATACTGGGAGGAGGACTGTACCTCTCATACAAAGGAGTTACACCAAATTCCAGTATCTTCCTTTTTCAAGGCAAGGGGGAATAAGAACTGACATTTGAAGACCAAGTCAGGGAACCTACTGATTAAACACTAATGCAAACTGTCCCTTCTCTGCTATCATCAAGGAGGGACAGCTATATTAAAAGGAGAGCATAATTCTGTGGATTGATTTGTTGAGTCCTCATCTGTTTCTCCAGGTTCTGACATTACAGTTAGCAGTGAAATACTGAACTCTACTTGCAGTTGGTCCTGAGGTGAGAACAGAAAACACTAGATACAACAATTCAGTTATACTTAGCTTTGTACATGTGGAATTCTAATATATTCTTCGTATCCTTAAAAGATTTCTGTGTTCGTGTGTATCTCCCACTCACACATCTACTCAAAGAAACCTTGAAGAGCATCTGTTTAATCACTGATATTCTGGTTAAACTAGCCAGCTTAATATACATTCTTTTCTTACAGGCAGGATACAACCCACCTCTGACAGAAGAGTAGCTTCCAGCCGATGAACTGAATCACCTGGTTGCCTCAGATGGAATCAGGGTGGCAATAGATGTCATCAGCTCAGTGTGAAGACAGTGTTTTCCAGTATGGAAAAAATTGCACCCACCAACATTCACCGACACTTGCTGGATGGAGTCCAGACAATGGACATGAGCTCAGGGAGCTGGTAGATATTGGACTTCAGCAGTGGTGACAACAGCAGTAGTTTACCTCTGCTGGTGCAGATTTTTACAAATGCAGCATGCAGGCTCATGTTCTTTGCTCTGAACCTTGCTTCTACAATGCAAAGGGATTCCAGCCACCACATGCATACAGCCAAGACATTTTAGTGTGAACCAGATACTCAGGCATACACAACCTGTAACCCACATGCTACGTGTATCCCAACTCAACTTGCATCCCCTACAGCTGTATCGATCATGGCAGCAGCTCTACCCTGATGAGTGGCCAGGCCTAGCCCAGAGTCACAGCAGAGTTTGCAGAGCAGCACTGAAAAATAAAGCAACAGAACTGAGAAAAGCCTGTCACCGGAAGAAAATATTTTAAACAAAGTCACATGGCAAAAGAAGGTAATGACAGTGCTTTCTAACGGGAGATAAGCGCCATAGCAGGTAACCATACAAGGCCATACGACCA